TTTCCATAGTTTGGCTATTGTGGACATTAGACTCATTTTTGAAATATATTTTTTATTCAGGTAAAATTTACAGTGTCTTATTAGTTTCAGGTATACAGTATAATATTTCAACACTTCTATACATTACTCAGTGCTCATCATGGTAAGTGTACTCCTAATCCCCTTCACCTATTTTACCCATCCCCATTCCCACCTCTCTTCTGGCAACCACCAGCTTACTCTCTATATTTAAGAGTCCAGGGTTGTTTTTTGTTTGTTTGTTTCTTTTAATTTGTTCATTTGATTTGTTTCTTATATTCCACATATGAGCAAAATTATTAAGTATTTGTCTTTCTCACACTGACTTATTTCACTTAGCATTATATCTTCTAGATCCATCCATATTGCTGCAAATGGCAAGATTTCATTCTTTTTTATGGCTGAGTAATAATTCCATTGTGTATGTGTGTGTGTGTGTGGTGTGTACATACACACACCACACACATATATACCACATCTTCTTTCACCATTCATCTATGGATGGACACTTGGGTTGCTTTCATATCTTGGCTATTGTAAATAAGGCTGCAGTAAACATAGGGGTGCACATATCTTTTTGAAATAGTATTTTGTTTTCTTTAGGTAAATACCAGTAGCCAACACTATTTATTGAAGATACTGTCTTTTCAGGAACTGTATGTTCCTGTTTCCTTTGTTGAAGATTAATTACCTGTATATGTATGGACTTATTTCTGGACTCTATTCTGTTCCACTGATCTATGTTTTTGTTTTTGTGCCAATACCATACTGTTTTGATTACTATAGCTTTGTAGTATACTTTGAAATCAAGGGACATGATACCTCTAGCTTTGTTCTTTCTCAAGATTGCTTTGGCTATTTGGAGTCTTTTGTGGCTCTATACATATTTTAAGATTATTTGTTCTATTTCTGAGAAAAATTTCATTGGTATCTTGATAGTGATTGCATTCAATCTATAGACTACTTTGGGTGGTATGGATATTTTAACAATACTAATTCTTCCAATTCATGAGCACAGGGTATCTTTCCATTTATTTGTACTGTCTTCAGTTTCTTTCATCATTGTCTTACAGATTTTAGAGTTCAGGTCTTTCATGTCCTTGGTTACATTTATTCCTAGGTATTTTATTCTTTTTGATGCAATTGTAAATGGGATTGTTTTCTTAATTACTCTTTCTGATAGTTCATTATTAGTATATAGAAATGCAACAAATTTCTGTATATTAATTTTGCATCCTGCAACTTTAGTGAATTTATTTATTAATTCTAGTAGTTTTTTTTGGTGGAACCTAGCATTTTCTATATACAGCATCATGTAGTCTGCAAATAGTGACAGTCTTACTTCTTTTCCTATTTGGATGCCTTTTTTTTTTTTTGTCTTATTGCTGTGGCTAGGACTTCCAGTACTGTTGAATAAAAGTGGGAAGAGTTGGCATCCTCGTCTTGCTCCTGTTCTAAGAGAAAAAGCTTTTAGCTTTTCACTCTTGAGTATGATCTTAGCTATGGGTTGCCATATATGGCATTTATTATGTTGTAGTATGTTCCTTTTGTACCAACTTTGTTCTAAGTTTTTATAATGAATGGATGTTGAATTTTATTGAATTCCTTTTTTGCATCTATTGAGATGATCATATGATTTTTATCCTTATTTTTGTTAATGCAGTGTATCATGTATCATGTTGATTAATTTGTGGATACTGAACCACCCTTTCGTCCCTGGAATAAGTCCCATTTGATCATAATGTTTGATTCTTTTTTTTAAATTTTTTTATTTTTTATTTGACACACAGAGAGAGACAGAGAGAGGGAACACAAGCAGGGGG